GAAGGTCAAATACGGCATGATCAAATTGCAGGCAAAAGCATTAGCACAATGTACACCATGTATACAGACCTGCACGTCAGAATGTGGTAATATAGCAAGCACACTCACCTCATTTACTATATAATCGAGCAGCTCAAATATAGCCATTGGAGGTCTGCTGTCAGGTCCGTATGCTGTTGGGGGAAACAAAAATGATTCAATGCATTTTCTGCACTAAATATCACTCAAGGTCACAAGTAGTTGTCCCTTCATGGCAATGCTGTACTTAATTTACTGTGGCAAACAATTTCAAGTCTATTTGGAATCATTTCAGTTGAGGCTGCTGTTATTTATATAAAAAAATTTTAAAAAGTCGGGATGAACCAGTGTCATCTCAGACTTACAGCTGCCTGGTCGCCCAGGAGGCCGTGGCTTTGGGGAGGACTCGCTGGAGACTGCTTCAAGTTAAGTAACGCATTATAGAACCATTGCATCTTACAGGATGTGTACACCAAATCCACCAGTATGTATTTGTCTGAGTGCTTTTCTTCATTTCCCATCATAGGCCTGTGCCGACCCCTGATCTCGGTTTATTCCGAGAAAGGAGAATCCTCAGGCAAAAATGTTGTAATGCCTGCTGTGTTCAAGGCTCCAATTCGCCCTGATGATGTGAATTTTGTGCACACCAACATGCGCAAGAACAGCCGCCAGCCTTACGCAGTTAGTGAACTGGCAGGTAAGTACATATGTCTTGAGGTGGCACGTTACTAAGCCCTCAGTATACTCTTACAATTTTAGACTTAAGGTCTGACCTAGTTTGATAAGATACTCCATTTGTGATTCATATGTGTATTCGTGTATTTCAGGCCACCAGACCAGTGCAGAGTCCTGGGGTACAGGAAGAGCTGTGGCCCGTATCCCTCGTGTGAGAGGTGGTGGTACTCACCGCTCTGGCCAGGGTGCGTTTGGAAATGTATCCTTTTGAACGGGATTGAAGCTTCATAAGTTTTTCTCCATTTTTAGAATGCTTTACTTCCCATGTNCCGCCAGCCTTACGCAGTTAGTGAACTGGCAGGTAAGTACGTATGTCTTGAAGTGGCACATTAATAAGCCCTCAGTATACTCTTACAATTTTACTTTACTTCCCATGACAAACTAAACTTTTAGATTTGCTGTGATGGTGTAATTTGCGTCCTACTCTGTGACCAGTGACAGAATGCCTGCTGTCATATGCTGGCACAGTTGGCTGACGAACATTGAGTCTGAGCAGATTCGGTCCTTCAGTAGTTAGTGCCTCTGCAGTTGTCAAACCACCTTGACTCTGATCTAGATGTGTCGTGGAGGACGCATGTTTGCCCCCACTAAAACCTGGCGCCGCTGGCACCGCAGGATCAACACAACCCAGAAGCGCTATGCCATCTGTTCTGCCCTTGCTGCTTCTGCCATTCCTGCACTTGTCATGTCCAAAGGTAAGCTCCAACACACCATATTTGTAGAGACAACAGGTGTAGTTAGAAGAGCCATCAAAAAAATTCTTGCAGTTAATTTAAAGTATGCTTTTCTTGCTATGATGGTGTAATTTGCGTCTGAGCCGGTGAACAGTGACAGTTGCCTGCTGTCTCTAAGCTGTCACAGGATATTGATGTGTGTTAAATTCTGAGCAAGTGCTGGTAACATTTAAGCCTAAAATCATGACAAGTTTGTTTGTGGATATCTTCAGTTGATTATGATTGATCTGTCAGGACACCGCATTGAGGAAATTCCTGAGGTCCCACTGGTGGTTGATGATAAAGTTGAAGGCTACAAGAAGACAAAGGAGGCCGTGCTCCTGCTGAAGAAGCTTAAGGCCTGGAATGACATTAAGAAGGTAATTTAATTCAGACCATAAGATAAAGGATTTGATGTTTCAACTACTGTTTGCTCTTAAGGCTGGGTTACATCAGAATGTGTTTGTTTATGAAATGGAAACAAAATGATTGTGGAGTTAATGTGCTCATTTTTAGCTTAAATGAAGTTAAGAGTTCAAATTGTATGAACAGTATAGGAATCGCTGCCCTTTTTGATACAAAAAGTCCTCCGTATTAGGGTGAATTACTTGAGCATATTTCACTTACTTGAAGAAAAGAGTGTCTACTTGTGCCTGTACAAGCATGTGAGGGTAATCTGAAAACAGCTCATCTTTAATATAGTTATTGTGCACTACTAGTACTTTTTCTTTTAATGGGACTATCATTATTTTATATTGTTCCCAGGTCTACGCCTCTCAGCGCATGCGTGCTGGTAAAGGTAAGATGAGGAACCGTCGCAGAATCCAACGCAGAGGGCCGTGCATCATCTACAACCAAGATGCTGGCGTCACCAAAGCCTTCAGAAATATCCCAGGTGGGTTGTTGTGTTAAAATATAGAATTACTGTTGTGTAAATGGTTCTGAGCATCACCTTAAGATTCTTTACCTTTAGTACCAAAACATGTGTAGTGCATAAGCAGCTGGTATTAGACTTAAATGAGATGAGAATGGGACATGCCGTAGTGACCGAAGGGGCAGTGACCACTGCTAATCCTTCAGACCATTGCAAAACTTCTGCATTTTCATGTGGGTGCTATTTAATGTTTAATTATGTAATTAAATTTTGAAGTTAAGTAAAATTTCTGGCATCATTGGTTATATATAGTTTTAAAATCTACTAACATGAAATTGCCTTTTTAAAAGAAGCACAAGATGATTGCACTCACTTCAGTGTTTAAGGTTATCGTGTTGCTGTTATATTGTGCGCAGGCCCATCACTCTGGCAAGTAACGATGAATCCAAATGAAACCTCCTGAGGCTCGCCCTGGTGGGTCACGTTTGGAGCCGCTTCCTGCATCTGCGACTGAGAGCCGCTTGTCCGCAAAGCTAGGATGAGCTGTATGGCCACTGGCCTAAAACACTGCCTCCGCTGAAGCGTCGACTACAAGGAGTATTTGGTAACAAGCATCACGCTTGTAGCAAAAGATGACACTTGCCTTAGTCATACTACAGTGATTGAGCTTTCCACTTCATGGTCCCGTGTTTTGAAAGTCCCCTGTTTTTTTTGATATTTAACGAAAGTTTCTTGAGTCCAAGCGTCACAAGACTGGTCAGTTTCCTTGTTTTGATATGAAACATATATTAACCTGAACCTCTTCATGCCTTTTATTTCAGCCTGCCAATGCACAAGATGACCAACACAGACCTGAGCAGGATTCTCAAGAGTGAGGAGATCCAGAAAGCACTCTCGCGCACCTAAGTAAAGCACTGCACAGTTTTAAGTGAATGAAATTTGTTTTGCTGTGCAACTATGATGATGTTCCACTTCAGGTCCGTGTTTCTGAACCCTGATTATATGGAAGTCCTGAGCAATGCAGAGTTGTTAATTACAAACGTTGCTGTTTAAGCAGTTCACATTGTTAAGACCGTATTAATTGTCATTACAGCAAGAAAGATCAACCGCAGAGTACTGAAGAAGAATCCTCTTAAGAACTTGAGGATAATGCTCAAACTGAACCCATATGCCAAAACAGCAAGACGTCATGCCATCCTCAAGCATGACCCGGCGGTAAGAACTTCAACAATTCAAGCTTGAAGCAAAAGTTGTAGATTTGTCAGTTGTGATTTTTGAAATTCTGTTTGGTCTTTCCATAGATCAAGGCTAAGATGCTGAAACCCAAGAAGAAGCCCGGAAAGAAGGGAGCACCAGCCAAACCCAAGGCATAAATTTATACATAAAGACTGGAGTTCAGTGATAATAATAAAAACATTGGTTTCAAATTCATGAGTCAGACATGTCATTCAAAATTTTAATTCACAAGACTATTACACATAAGCTAACAAAGATTTAATCTATTGGTGCTGAAAGGACATGAGGGTAAAAAGAGGAATGTCAAGCACACAGGCTGAGCAGCATTTGTCATGATTAAATAATCTGATCATTAGAAAAAGATGGCTTTTCAGGCAGGCCTGCAATATAGCCCAAAGAATTGTTCAATACAGGTAATTTCACTTGGCATGTGGGTTTGTATACTGAATATATATCTATTGATTGCACAACATTTTGAGTACTTGGTATAAACATAAATATTACCCATAATACAAATCCAGTCAGGGCCTTGGAATGTGTTTGTTGCCAGAACAGATCTCACACTGCGTTGCCATGGGTGGGTGTCACAGGCTGATTGAGTCCAATGGTGCTGCACAACCAGCCAGCAAAGTCGACCTGCTCTGCCTCGGACTGTTTGATAAAAGGACGCACCTGGAGGAATAGAGAGTAGTGTGAGCTGCCAAAGCGATTACTAGTAAATGATAACGCTCAAGCTTGCACACTCACCATCAACTGTTTCAGGTCTGCTCTCTCTGCTGGGTTTTTAATCAAACTGCAATGGAGAGCCAAAACACTTTAGAATGTGTATTGCATTTCTACACCACTAGGTGGCATAAAGTCTAAGATCTGGACATTCCACTTGTGACATGCTAGTAAATATTTCAGACTTTTCTTATACATACCATTTATTCACAGTCTTGAAATTCATAGAGCTAAATATCCCAGGTAGCTTTGGTGGAGGCTGAAAATTGGACGAATGGAAGGTCAAATACGGCATGATCAAATTGCAGGCAAAAGCATTAGCACAATGTACACCATGTATACAGACCTGCACGTCAGAATGTGGTAATATAGCAAGCACACTCACCTCATTTACTATATAATCGAGCAGCTCAAATATAGCCATTGGAGGTCTGCTGTCAGGTCCGTATGCTGTTGGGGGAAACAAAAATGATTCAATGCATTTTCTGCACTAAATATCACTCAAGGTCACAAGTAGTTGTCCCTTCATGACAATGCTGTACTTAATTTACTGTGGAAAACAATTTCAAGTCTATTTGGAATCATTTCAGTTGAGGCTGCTGTTATTTATATAAAATTTTTTAAAAAAGTCAGGATGAACCAGTGTCATCTCAGACTTACAGCTGCCTGGTCGCCCAGGAGGCCGTGGCTTTGGGGAGGACTCGCTGGAGACTGCTTCCCCTTCCATTGGGAGGCCAAAAATCTGTTCTAGTTCTTTAGCGTCAGGTGGTGGGATAGGGAAGCGTCCAATGGCCATTTCAACCAGGGACAGACCCATACTCCAGATGTCCGACTGAACAGAGTAATGGGTGCCCTGTAAACGTTCTGGCTGCACAACACACGGGCAATTATATAATTACTTATACAAGTAATGTTTTGTAATATCAGTAAAAAGTCACAGCATCAAAAATAAAAAGGCTAAAAGTGCAAAGCTGAATTTCACTGAGTGACATGCAGATGCAACATGATGAATATTGCTGAAATGTGTTCGATCACGTGATGGATAATTGAGAGTGCTGTTCCTCACATCTGTGTCATCAGGTCCAAGTCACTTCCTATGTTGTCACTGATTGGGTCAAAGTCTTGAGTAACCAGTCTAAGTCAGCCTATGCTTGCATGCATGAATAAAAAAATGAATTTACTTCTGTCACATCAGCAGCCATTGTGTTAATACAAATAACTAGAGTGGGGCTGTATATGACATATCAGTGGTTTAAATTGCATAGCCTGTGTCTATATGATTGCCCTATTTTTACCATAGTGTAAACTATGAAAAAAAAAAAGAAATGTAGCACCACTTGACTTGAAGACAATGTATAAAGCGTGTCCATTTTAACTCACAGACATGTAGGAGCGAGTGCCCACAAAGGAGTTGGCCATGGAGTCTATAAGCTGTCCGCTCACACCAAAGTCACACAGCTTGATCTCACCGCGGGAATTCACGAGGATGTTGGAAGGCTTGACATCTGAAAGAGGGGTATGCAGTATTTAGGAGGACACAGTGGGCATGTGTTCGGCGTGGAGCAGCAGGCACTCTGTTTAAACATTTCTTCACATCATTCATCTCCACAACACAGTGCAACAAAAATCTAATCCATGCGAAGCTCAATACTCAATGCCTTAGTTATTTAGAGAATACAATATTCACATTTTTTCACTTTTGTCTTCCAACTATAGTGAGGTGCCCCCATGAGCATTGGAATAGTCCTGTGTAATCATTTCTCCTGCTTATAGTGGCCATTAAAAGATCCTAATGTGCTTTCAATGAGGTGATGGCAAACAAAATCATCGGCCCTTGTCCTGTGCGAGAAAAGATCTGAAGCTAATATGGAGCTTCATAGATCAGACTTAAACTAATCAAAAGGACAGCTTCCAAAATGACAGACTTTTAAGTACATAGGTCCCTCTTTTTGTTATCCTTTAGAGAAATGCCTCAGGGATTTTTTAACTAAAAAAAGCTGTAACTTTGGAAGATATCCACTTGACTAACTTGTCCTGCCAAAGCTTCATATTGGTTTCAGATAAACTTCTGAATATATGTTTTGCACAAAACCAGGATTATGTCCCTCATCACTGACAATGAAAACGCATTAGAAAGGGATCTTTTAAAAGCGAGTAAAAAAAACATTAGAAATGATTACACCAGGCAAAACCTGTTTCAACGTACTTACTATTGTTTTAAGACAGACTCAAAAAAATTGTGAACTTCTCCTTTAAGCATGGCAGACCAAAGGATAGGCATTTGTGTGTTTAAATGCATTGTAAAGGTGGCCAAACCATATTTTATTTGTCACATCTTTTAGTAAATTAGTGACTGACCTCTGTGCATGATCTTGTGTTTCTCCCTCAGGTAGGAGAGGCCTTTAATGACCTGGAAAAACAAATATTGCATATCAGCATAGAAAAGATAGAGAATATAAAAAAAGTACACATGCATCAGTTAAAAATCATCCAGTTATATACACAAAAACAACACAATAATAGCTGTAATGTGACAGCCAGATAGTGGGAGGGGTGTTGGAGCTATACCCACAGCGATGCTGACTTTGCCAAGGATCTGCTCTGGGATCTTGCCTGCTTTCTTCAGCGACTGGTCCAGGGAGCCACCATCCTGCAGGAAAATATGGATGAGCATCTACAGAGATGAGTCTTTGTAATTCAAAATATAAATTGTGACACTGAACACATTGAAACCAAATTAGTTTCTTTGGATGCCCGTGATGATTAAAATGGAATAAACAAATGCTGGACACCCTGAGTACAATCTGTAAAGCAGCACTAAAGCAGCTGTACCATATGCTCCATGCAGATGCTGATTTCTCCATCACTGTAGAAAGCTCCATAGAAGCCAACAATATAGGGGGAATTACACTCGTGTAGAACCTGCAGCTCCCTAATGATCTGGTTCCTGATGGCTGGTTTGATCTCCAGGTGGATCAGCTGGGACACAGGAGACACCAAGTTTTTATTAATGTTTGCATATCACACAGAACACACATACTGGGTGTTGCAGTCCTTTTGGGTGTCTGGGGGAACACACAAACACACAACTCTAACCCTAACCCACACAAATTAGATACAATACCTGCATGTTAGCAGGGAGAAAGTACTCATATAGATGCATGAGCATTACGTGTAGATGTTACACTTCAGCTCGTATATTTTTGGACAGTCTTGTCCCAGTAACCTGTATTCCATGTTGTGCACAAAATGCTTGCAAAGAAAAAGACAAATCTCTCTCTACGCTCTCTGAGTGATGATGCCTGTAAAAATCAATGTCTGTCTGACACACTGGGGAGAAAAACTCAAAAAAAAAAAAAAATCTATTCACAGTTATGTAATACTAGTGTACACATCTCTGCTAGATACAGTTTAGATTGAGTGGCTTTCTGAAAGCAAAAATTGCTTTTTTTTCTCTCCACAGTGTCTTCACTAAAGCCATCAGGCGCCACAGCTTACCTTCCTCGCCATAATCAGACCTGAGGGTCGGTGGGAGACCTTGAAGACGACGCCTCCGTTGCCTGCACCCAGCTCACAGATCTTCTCAAAGTCATCGTCCTTCAGCTCTCCCACCTTCTGCTTCTGTGTCAGAAAGGCCTCCAGGCGTTTCCGCTGCTGCTCATCCAACTCGAGCTCCTCTAGTTTCTTCTGCAGTGCCTCCAAGTTTGTTCTTACAAAGAGAAGGATAAAGAAAAAGACAAGGAGAAAGATGAGTAATTTGTGTATTATTAATGTATTCTCGCTAAAATAAAAGGCTCTTGAGTTCATTCAGAGCTTTTGCAGATGTTCTTTACCAGAAGTACTGGCTGTCCCCTCTGGAGACATGAGGTAATGCCTGATGCATCCAGATCTACGGGACCTGTCATATTATTGAATCCTCAGAGAGAAGACAGAGCTTGGTGTGACAGCTACTGCTGCACGTGCCGCTGTAAACAATGGCAACCAACCAAAGAGCCAGCAGGAAGACAGAGAGGGTTGCAGGGTGAGTTTCAGAGTTCCTTCCCAGAACCCAATGTGAGGAAGCTTGAACTTCCTCTGAACACAGCGCTGCTACCCCAGCACTGTTGTCATGGTGATGTATTTCCTTGACTAGTCAATTGTAGAAAGCTCACCTGCTGCTCTTTGAACTATCTCTCTCCTCCCACTCCTCTGTCTCAAAACAATGTACACACTGCAACACAAAGTCAGTCTAAGCTTTTATCATCGACTTTACAAGAAGATAAAGAACAATGAGTCGTTATGTCATTTCAACTGATTAGATGGTCAAACAGCTGGTCTGTGAACATTTTTTATTATTATTCAATTGAATTAATTATTAAAAAAAACACAAAGAGTGTAGATTTCTGTTCATTAGAAAAATCACAAAGAGGCACAAATGAACATCATATTAAAAAACACTTTATGCTGCAAATGATCGATGAAACTAACA